CCTTCCAGCCATGCTTTATTCAATGTGGTATCCAAACTGTAAACTATGGCTTCTTGCCTGCCTAACAATATGCCAAGAACTAACCCTGCCCATGACTCTGGATTGTTAGAAGAGGAACAAGCCAGAATTCTGTTTGTACATCATCCTGAGGAAACCACAGACAACAAACAGAGACTCCTGGGCATGTAGGGGCTAAGCAAGAATGATCAAATAGTATGCACCAGCACATTGGTTCACCTGCAGATATATTGTACTCAAGCATTTAGCATACTCTAAACATGCGCTGGTGCCTATTAAGGTGTAATAGACATATGATTAACAAAAACCGGGCTATAAGATGAGGTTTCACTTAGCTGTACTGTCAATGGGATAGATCAAAACCAATTTAAAAAGCTAAAAGAATATCTGTACAAAATAGAAAAGAAAGTTATTACTGGACAAAATCCAGTAAAAAGCTTCATGCATTTCAGTTAACAAAGTTCATACATCAAAAACCTGCATTCTTCAGCAAAAATTATAGATGCTTATTAATTGGAACCCTCCAATATTCCTATATGACCAGGTCTGCCCGGATGAAAGGGGGAAAGAAAGGTGAATTCATTCTAACATGGATGGAGAACACACATTTTGATGCAAGCTATATACACAGAGAGATACACAGACACAAGGTATGTTCGCTCATCATCTGACCACTCCTTAAAGGGGCTCATATCTATAGAGCTTTGACAGTTGGGGCTACCAAAGCCTAAATATAAGATACCCTGGCAGTCTGATGTTTGGGCGTCTACAAAAACAGATACAGCATCAACATTTATAATAATGCAAGCAGTATATAGCTTGGGTTATGGATTATGCTATTAAAATTATAGTTAACATGTTTTTGATAGTAATATTGAGCTAGAGCAAGAAGAGATTCTTGGTTCTGCTGAGAGAAAAGGCTTGGGTGTGTAAATAATCCTGAACACATAACAGAGGCCATCACTCCACCACAGCTGTCCCACATGAAACTTGAAAGGCAGTCTTTCATATAGAGCATTTCCTGGGCAGCTATTGTTGCAAGCCTGAAGATGGTACAAGGGTATGGAACTTCCCCACTACTTGTTAACAATACATGTTCAGGAAGAAGAGATGCCTAAAAGTAGCTTTGAATGAACTTATGCTTGAAGAATTTTCTAGTATTTTATCAGTGTTAGCTCCTTTAATTTACTATGGCTAAAAGCTCTTCTGTTGCCTATATACCTGAATTAGAGGGAAAGAATCCTTATTCAGTCCCTGCGCAGCATAGCTAATGCCCCAGAGGTAGCTTGCAAGCATTTCCTTTGTTACGTCAGCAGCTTTTATTATCTTGTAAAAGTTCATGTCCTATTTTAGAGACAACAGTTCTCTATTAGAAAAGCTTGCAGAAGACAGTCCATTATTTGAGAGACTGACCTGCCCATCCATTTAAACCTTAAAGAACCACAGGAAATGAGATGAGTTGGCACCTTCACAGCAGACTGAGGAGGCACATAGGTCACCTGGTGACAGCCTCCCACAGTATGGTGAGATATAGGACTCATTTCAATTAGAATAATTTCTAAATGTGTACATATTCATATAAGTAACATTTGTTTGGGTCATGTATTTCTTCTTTTTTGATAATGCAGAACTTGCCACTCTCTAATAAAATACATCTCTCAGACATGGAATAGAATATACAAAGCTTCTGACAAAAGTTCTATGATACTTACTGGAAGTATGCTTTAAATAATGTTTTAAAAAGCTTAAATTTCTTGTTTGTATCCAGTTATATCTGTTGTAACACACATGCATAACTGCACTGCTCAGATAAAAATATGGCAGCTTTAGAAATGCTAAAAACCCATCCAAGTACAAAAACATTATATATATATATATATATATATATATATATATATTAAAGTTCCCATTTGTGATGTATACATGGGGCTTTCTCCTAACTAAATCTAGAAAGTACAAAAAGAGAGACAGAGTGTAAGAAACAGGCATTTATTTGACATCTGATTTATCCCAATGCCAAATTTCAAAACCTTCAGGATCTCAAAGAATTTTAAAAGTTTGACTTTAAACATTTAATATCTTCTTCAAGAAATTACTGGCTTAGTTTGATAAAATGTTTAAATTAGGAAAGTCAAAAGAACTGGAACTTTAAAAGCAGTAACAATACTCACACTGACAGACACCACTGTGTTACATACATAAAACATTAAAAGCCCACTCAAAAAGAAACTATCTTTAGTATTTGTTATACTTTTTGGTCAATGCCTTGTTAAAATATGTCAATGTAAATATGATCCAGCAATGTGATACAGCCACAAAAAAGTCAAACAGTATTTTGAGATGCATAAATAGAAGTATCACTTTGCGGGGGGGGGGGGGCACTCATCCCCCTCTACTCTGCACTATTCAGACCTCACCTGAAATATTGTTTTGGGCACCCAGGTTTTAAAAAGATGCTGAAAATCTGGAAAGAGTTCAGAGAAGACAGCAAAAATGATACAGGGCCTAGAAACTAAGTCTTATGCTGAAAGAACTGGGCCTGTTCAGCCTCAAGAAAAGACTAGAAAAGGACATGATAACACTCAAGTACCTCAAAGGCTGTCACAAAGGAGGAGGAAAAGACCTCTTCTCACTCATCCCAGACTGCAGGACATGGAAGAATGAAATTAAACTAGAGTGCCCCGAGTACATGCTAGACACTAGGAAAATTTCCTTACTGTCAAAACAATATGACAGTGTAACCAGATGCCAAGAGAAGTTGTGTACTCTTCCACTCTAGAGGCATTCAAGAAGAACCTGGACAGTTAGCTGAGTGTGATGGTATGACTGGCATCCTGGACCAGCAGGGGGTTGGATCCAATGGCCTTCTTCACCCCTTCCAACCCTACTATGAATTTTTTATTTATTTATTTATTGCATTTGTATGCCATCCCATAGTCAGAAGGCTCTCTACTCCAGAAGCATGGGGAAAACATATTTTCAACTGTTCCTGGTATCTGACATGTAATCCTATCAGTAGGCCAGGCATCAGAGAAGGTAAGGGGGAAGGAAACATCCCTTTATTCAAGTGCTGCCAGAAAAAAGGTAATTGGGAACAAAAGAAGGAGTTTAGTGGTAGATGTGTGGATAGCAAGGAGGCAAGGAAGGAAGGAATGACTTGAATTACAGCCTAAGTCAGAGAAGGACCTTGTCTGTGTAATACTAAACTTATGCTTGGTGCAAGTATCATACATTTCCCAATTCCATATTTCTGGCAGTGGAGAAAGGTACACATACTTAAATGGGTTAGGCTCAGTTCCATTGATTTTTAAGTTTACATTTTCAGGTTCTCTTTTGCTCCAACTACACCCCGCTCCAGACTTTGTGTCATCTTGCCAGTTTAAAAGATTTGGAGATCAAAGCTTGCTCAACATTTATATAAAAATAGTATTGCTTAGGTTTAATTTGTTTGTTTTGATACATAGTAAAAATACTAATTTTATTATATGGGAAAGCATTCTACATAATAAACCTAAAGAAACTACACTAATTTGAATGTTATAAGTAGCTTACTTCCCACAATGTATTAATAATTGGGGTATAATTCAGGAATATGTATAAACTAAATATATTAATTGGAGTCTCAGTGTTTAGCCACTGTGTTACTGAGGTCATGACTACAGCTTCAATTATATAGATTTTTACCAGAAAATAATCCCAATAAGTCAGATTCTGATAACACAAAATTAACTTTATTTACTGTAGAAATTATCACTACATAACCATCAACTGAAAAAATGCATATAAGTAGACTCCAATCCATAAAAGCATATACTATAATATTAGTATCTATGGTGTCAAATAACAGATATAGTTACACCAAACTTGTGCCAAAACTGTGCATTATAACTTTCAAATAAAAGAAATAACACAGGCACTGGACATTATAGCATTTCATTGAGAGCTGTGAACTGCAAGATAAAAACTTTCAAAAGAGACAAGGAACACAAACAATTAGTAGCTTAATTAAAAAAAAAAATTCCATGAGAGGACAGCAATACCCATACACGACTACTTTCATGGTTTGAGAATTAAACCTAACTAGACACCCGCAAACAACATTAAAAAATGCGAATGCAAAACTAGCTTAGGGCCTTAAGAGCTGCTTTCCCTTGCTCTTCTCTGTTACAGTGAGAAGAGCTCTCAATACAAAGAATCTTGAAGAATCTCTGCTACTTTCGTTTCTTCCTAACTAACAGACTTTTCTCTGCTCAATAAAGTTCCTCCGAAAAGGACACCAAAAAAGCCTCTTGTGCTACTGCTTTCACAGGAATTTATTTTAGTCGAAATTGATTTACATGGTCATTCTCCAACTTGCTACCAGAAGACACTCTTGGGAGGCACCCAACTACCAAAGGGCCACAAAGTTGGACCAAACAGAGGCCAAGCCCTACCTCCCAGCCCAGCTCCCCACCTTCCCACACCATTTCATTTGTCAGAAGTCCAGAATGATTTCCTCAGTCCCAGTGAGCCTTTCACACTAGCCGCTCTAGTTCTTCCTCCAGCCCTCCTCGCTCATGGGAACAGGCTCAGCCCAGCGCCTTCATTGTCCAACTGGCCAACCCGTCCTCCTCACAGCCCCGCAGCAATACACCCCTTACTAGCGCCCGTCTGCTCTCGCTGCCCCATTCTTTCTACCTCCTCCTCAGTCTCCTGCCGGGCTTCTCCCCGTACCTCCCAACACCCCCACCAACACGCCTTCCTCCCCCACCGCCGCCTTTACCATCCTGACGCCCGGCTGCCTCGGGGCCAGCCCTCCACCGCAGGAGGCCAGCCCTCCATCCCCAGCAACGCACTCGGCAAGGCCAGTAGCCCCGTCAGCCCCTTCCACCTGTTACTCTACCTCGAAACGCCGTCCCTCCCTCAGGAACAGCACAACCTCCTCCTGACGAACCCACCCACAAATCCGCTCCATAACTGGATCATTTCCTCGGCCGTTTTACCTGTACGTGAGACTGAGGGTCGGATGCGTCGAAGCCAAGAACGCCGCCTGTCAAGAGCCACCGCACTTCCGACCGCGGTTGTAACTATTTGCGTCCCCTCGCTTGGTGGGACTTGTTGTTTCTTACGCCGATGACAGCTATGGGCTGCGCACGCGCACCTACTCGCCCCCCCTTCTCTCTCGCCTTCCCTCCCTCCCTCTCTCTCTCACACACACACAGACATACACACTGACACGCACAAAACACTCCTTCTTCCCCTCCTTTCCACCGTCGCTCGCCGCGAGAGCTTTCGGGGGAAAAAGAAACCCTATGGCGTCACGTGACGCAAAGCGGCTTCCTCCCGGGGGTCACGTGACCGAGAGAGGTGTTCGCGCGACCTGCGCTGCTGTGGTGTCACTCACTTGAGCGTTCCAAGTTTGGAGTGCGCGGGTGCGCGCGCGCGCGCGTGTGAGAGGGCGAGGGAATGGTGCAGAGGGAGGGAGGGAGGGAGGGAGGAAGAGGGAAAAGGAAGGAGTAGGCCTGTTGTTGTCATGTCACATGAGGTCACCACGTGGGATGCCGGTTGCTGGGCGATGTTCGGTTTGGCTGCACGCTCTACCAGCTGGTGCGAGTTGGGAGAGGCGCGTGCCACTCAGAGGGGATGCGATCGAGTCGGGGCCTCAGGCGTTGGCTCCGCGCAGCGCCCCGCGCTTCCGTTTGTCCCGGAGCGTTACACACTTGACTTCACGACAGGTAGCGTGCGCGTGTGCGGCCCGGAGGTTTCTGGCTTTGCGCGTGCGCGCTTCTTCGCCACACGCGCAGATCGGCTTGCTGAATGCTCCCGCCAAGCGCGGCGAGCGGAGCTGTGGCTGCAAGCGGGGCTTGGTGCGAGACTGGCGGTCTGTCCGGCAAGCCCAGCCTCGGCGGCAGCGTCACGAGCCCGGCGGTAAGTCTAGACAAAGGCCAGGTAAGAAGGAGGCAGTGCGCGTCGCCTGAGCATGGAAAGGTCAGGCGTTGTTTTGAAGGAACTTGCCAAGTAAAAGAAAAAGCACCGCCTTTGTTTCTGCACCGCAGAAAGAGTGGGTGGCTGTTATGGCAGGGTGATCAGTTCTTCCCCTGTGTTTGTTCTTCCACTTTTCCCGTACCAGCCTATTCCTAGCATATACAATAGTGCTGAGTTTCTTCCAGTAACTGAGAAATAATAGAAACTAGCATCAAACTTGAGTTCAACACCAGAATTGGTCTAGGGAAGCCTTCCCCAATTTGGAGTCTTTCAAATGCTTTAACCTACAACTCCCTGTCTGGTGGGAATTGAAGTGTAACACCAGAGTGGGGAGGAAATAAGTAAATAAATAAAGTTGACTGCATTTTTGAGCATATTTTGAGTGAGAGTATGAAAGCCCCCTCTTCACTATATGTTTAAGGAGAAGTTATGAGACAGAGGGTGTGGTTTTTAAGCTTCAACCAGTGTCTGATTTTGCTAGGCCCATGAAGTTCAGTGAGTTACATCCTCAGAACTTTCTATGTTTATGTAACCAAAATGAGTTCAGTGGTCTTTACCATACCTCAGATGTGCATAAGCTGCCCATAGGATTTGTGCTTAGGGTTGTAGTTTACCCATTCAGTCAAAAGAAATGCCCCACTATGTTCAGTTGGATGCACTTTAACAATACGTATAGGGTTATAGCCTTTAAAGGCCCACGGATTTCAGTGGGGAAATTAAGCAATTTTTCAATTTTCTGCCAATGAACTAAATGGGATTTGATTTTCTCTCCTTGATCTAAGACTGGATTGTCGCCATAATCATTTGGCAATTGCATATTGAAAGGCATAAACCAACTGATTATGTTGAATATGCTGTTATTTTTGTTAACACACCTGTTCTGCTTCTGTTGTAACTAAAGAATTTGTATGAAATGATCATACCACAATTCCAAAATCCACATGGCCAGTCTTACATTGGAATTACTCCCAAGATTTAAACCAGAGTTTTATATTCATGTTTTAAATTGTGCATTATTTTGAGAGCCGGGGGAGGGGGGCACAAAGGCAATATATAAATACTTTAAATACAAAATTCTCACAGTTATAATAAAAACAGTTAATCAAGTTTCTGCAGCAGCTATATAGGCTTGGATTTAAAGATGTCCCAACAAATTTCCAGACATGTAAGAGTTTTCCTTCCCGCTCCCTCCCCACTATAATGTCCCAAGCTCAGTAAACTGAGTCTGAGGGTCAGAGTACCTTCCAGAATCAGATGGAATGGACAGGGGGAAATCTACAGAAGAAGGCAGGGGTGTGCCTAAAGTGAAAAGTACTTTCCACTTGCACAAGGGAATGCATTCATTCCTAATGCTTGGTAAGAGGGAGTTTTCATCTGATATGTTTACTGCAGCTCAAACTTGTGATTTACACTACCAATCTTTCTGTGATAGAGCCATGCCAATTGGTTTTATTACTGAACCTGTCATTGCACACTGATAATGTTTTTGGAAAGACAAGTTGTTCTTTTATTTTAATCTTTTCCTAACTTCTGTTAAAACACCAGATGGCAGTGAAGAGACAGCAAAGACTGGTTGGACTTTGGAATGCAGTCAGATTACCACTCATTCTCTGTGTGTAGCAGTCATGTCTCAGTGCCTTAGAAAAACTAGCTGTGCCCGGCAATGCAGTTTAAGTATACATTATTAGGATGCAATCCTGTGCATGTTTAGATAGTAAATCTAATTAGCTGTCCTGCAGCTAATTAGGAAGTCCTACAGCTCTTAGCATTACTTCAGCCAGTATTCCTAGATGGAGTGCACTGCGAATTGTAGGGAACTTTTATGGTCTTAACATGCATAGGATTGTGCCTTCAGAGTCTGATCTGATTTGTGAACTATAGCATACATGTAAATCCAGACTGTAGCATGCTATGTTTGTACTCTGTGTAAGCCCCAAATGTTTGCATTTAACTGAACTAAACTTTCCTTTAGATATCAATTGTTACAGCTATAGAAATAGAAGAGAAAGAAAAGGAAACACAAGAGACCTCTCCCAGAAAATCCCAAGACTCAAAAGGAAAGTCAAGCCTAGATCTGGAATGCTGACGGACTAACAGAAGAACATGCTATCTGAGCAGGACCAAATAAAGAGAAAGTGTAAAAAAATATATGGATGAAAAGATAAAAGGATGGCAGATTCATTGGAAGCTGAATCTTATGAGGAAGAACCTGCAGTATTTGAAAGTGAACACTGCTCTGAAAGCAGCTGGGAGGACTAAAGCAGTGGCCCACAGAATGGAAACATTCCACATAAATTCCTGTCCCCAAGAAAGAAGATGCTAAGGAGTGTGGCAACCACAGGACCTTTGCAGTAATTTCTCATCCAAGCAAAGTGATGCTCAAGGTGTTGCAGTGAGGAATTTTACCCTAGATAAGGAAGGAAATGCCTGAAGTTCAAGCTGGATTCCAAAAGGAAACGATGTTTGACATCATAACGCAAACATACATTGGCTACTGGAGCACAGCAAACAATTTCAGAAAATCAATCCATGCTTTATATGATATAGCAAAGCCTTTGTGTAGATTGTGAGAAACTATGGATAGTTAGGAAAGAAATGAGTGTGCCTCTTGATTTTCCTAATGCATAACCTCTGTCAGGGACAACAAGCTACTGTTAGAACAGAAAAAGAATGCTGTCCTGTAGCCAAAGGGGGGTCAGACAAGGGTGTATTTGCACACAGAATATATAAGGAAAGTTGGATTAAAATTAAAGGAATGAAAATTAGTGGAAGATAATCAGTAATTTAAGATATATATTATAATATATGATATTACATTACCAACAGAAAGCACCAGTGACTCCCAGTGAAAATGAAAGAAGAAAATGCAAAAGCAGAACTGCAGCTGACCATTAAGGAAACAAAAATTATGGCTACAGAAGGATTACACAACTTTAATGTCAGCAGTGATGAAACTGAAACTGTGAAAGATTTTGCATGCCTTGGCTCAAGCATCTGTTAAAAGGAAGATTGCACCCAAGATAATAGAAGAAGACTGAGACTTGGAAGGGCAGCTAGAAGAGTGAGGATGTTTTACTGGAAACCAAGATCAAGATCATCCAAATTATTGTACTTCAGGTAACAATGTATGAGTGTGAAAGCTGAACAATGAAGAAAACCGACAGGAAAAAGATTGATATGTTCAGTGCATGGTGCTGGAAGGAGCTTTACAACTACCCTGGACTGACAGAAAGATGAACAAGTTGGGCCTCAGTTAAATCAGGCCAGAATTTTCCCTGGAAACAAAAATCGTGAAACTGAAGCTGATAAACTGTACTTCAGGCATATCATGAGAAGGACATACTCACTGGAGAAAAAGTCTTGGGCTGAAAGGAGACTATGAAGGATGTGGAGGAGGAGGATAGTGACCAAGTGATGGCAGAGGAGGATTATGATCCATAGTATTATTATTATTATTATTATTATTATTATTATTATTATTATTATTATTATTACATTTCTATGCCGCCCCTTGCCGAAGCCTCGGGGCGGCTTAGAACACAATAAAATACATTGAAATACAATAGAACATAATAAATTACCATTAAATACAAAAATACAAAAAATACATTGAGTTACAAACATAATAATATAAAATTAAAATTATCAGTATAAAATAAGTAAATAAATAATACAGGGGGAGAAAAGAGAAGGAAGAAGAAGTTGCCCTGGCCAGATCATATGTTTTAACAATTAAAATGATGTTTAAATAAAAAGGTCTTTACCTGGCGCCGAAAAACCAGTAACGACGGTGCCAGGCGGACCTCTTTGGGGAGTGAATTCCATAGGTTGGGCGCCACCTCAGAGAAAGCCCTCCTCCGAGTACTTACTCTCCTAATTTCTTTCATGGAGGGTTCCCGGAGAAGGGACTCTCCCGCAGATCTCAAAGGGCGGTCGGGCATATACGGACGTAAGCGCTCGTTCAGGTAACCAGGACCCAAGCCGTTTAGGGCTTAGTATTGAACTATCAATTAATTTTGGCATTTGGACTACAGATCTCAGAAATCCCATCCAGCAGGGCCATTGACTGGGTGTGGCAGCCCAAATGCATCTGGAAGGCACAAGGTTGGGGAAGTCTGCTATGAAAGAAAGCCATAGTGCTGAGTTTCTAAGAGCTGAGCTGAGCTGAGCTGTCAAGGACAGGATATTTTAGAGGGCGTTCATAGGATCGCCGTAAGTTGGAGACAACTTGACAGCATGTAAAACCTTATTAAATGCATTAAGATATGATTCTGAGCAGACGTGTCAAGAACTGTACTCTTAAATATATCTTGATGTGGAAGT